TTGAGGAGGAGGTTTTGGGGAGGAGATATTGGAGAGGTTTTGGTTTTAGGGGGAGGTTTTGTAGGGGAGTTTTTGCGGAGGAGGTTTTGGAGGGGAGGTATTCATGGTGGGAAGTTTTGGGGAGGACGTATTGGAGAGGTTTTGGGGAGGTTTTGGGGAGGAGGTTTTGGGGAGGCTTTGGGGAGGTTTCAGGGCAGAGGTTTTGGGCAGGAGGCTGCTTCCACCAGGTGCCCCCTGAGAGTGGTGTGGCCCAGCAGCGGTAGGTCCAGACTTCCTCAGATACCTCACATAGAGAAAACGATCAATTCCCACCCCATCGTTATGCTAGCACTTCCTTTAGGGAAAAAAAAAAAAGGCATCAGAAAAGCTTTCTTTAACTGGAAACTTAATTTTTTTCATTAGTTTCCACCTTAAAAAAAAGAGTATTAAATAAAAGTACTCTAATTAAATAATACTGTTTAGGTTTTGCCTAATGAATACTGTGTAAAAACAATGGCATAACTTGAGCTTCAATTAAAAAGCCCAAAACTTCTTGTCTTCATCCATCTAGCATGAAACAAAACATGTCTGGGGCTGAATTCTTCTGGTCACTTTGATGTTTGTTGTGGTCTCTGTTTACACTTAAAAAGTTTTAACTACTGGCATTCATGTTCTACCTCCAAAGTTTGGAACTCCTCGGAGTTTAGGGTATTTTAGCACAACAACCCCTCCTTAATGGGTTCACACCTCTGCTCACCTCAGGCCTCGTCCTTCCAGGGAAGAGCTCAGAGCTCGGGGTCTACAGCAATAACCCGCCCCAGCACAGCGCGCAGCAAGGAAAAGCGAGGGGTCTGCACGAAGCACGGGACGGATTTCACATGTGGGTGCTCCAAAACATCGGGCTATGACATACGGACGTAAAATGCATTTTACTGTCGGACAGCACACGCGCAGTAACATCAGCATGAGAGAGTCAAAACCAACCCACACAACGGGGAGGCAGCCTCCAGAGATTAATTATCAGCTACGGTACTGCAACGCTTTTCATCTTCAAAGTACATTAAAACCACTACCTAATTAATTTTTACAACAGCCCTGTATGCTCACGTGCCTTAAACATAAACTCCATTTATAGATAGAAAAAGCCGAAGGTGATGTAATTTGTTCAGAGCCAAAAAGAGCCTGTGTCTGAGGTGGGGATGGGGACTGCTTGTTGTGGGCAGCGGGCACCAGAAACCCGTCCAACTTAGACTTCTGAGCAAAAAAAACCAAACTTGAAAGACAAAGCAATTTCATCTCTTTAACTGGAATAAAGATCTAAGCAACAACAGCCAGGCAGTGGCACCAAATGAAACAAAGCTGCGTGCACAAAGGTTTGGGAGGTAGAGACGGTCGGATTTTCTTTCTCTGGAAACGGGTTTCTGCTTACAACGGGGAGGCTCCCACTTCTGCAGCGGGGTCTCACCATCAGCACTGAGCCCATAACAAACCAACCCAGCACCCAGTAAGACAGCCCAGGGAGCGGGCTGTAACCTTTACACATTTATTTGCAAGTTTAGGATGTTTCTCCCCGCTGCCCAGGAGTTTCCTGTAAACACGCTGTAGTTGAGAGAATTGTTGCTTAAACAAATCGTGTGAGTTTGACGACAAAAGGTGAAATAACAAAGCGTTCAGGAAAAGTAACTCTTTTAATAACATTAATGAGGGGGTGCTTGGAGATCAGCGGGGTGATGCGATGGTCCATGGTCCAACGAACCCCGAGCGGCTGCTGGTGATACGGGCTGGGCACTGCTGTGCCAGATGGCAGAAGTTGTCCTCCAGCTGGGGGGCAGCCCCCCATCACCTCTCTGCGCCCGTGGGTCGTTGGGCTTTGGTTTCTGGGGACGCTCTTTCTGCTCTGCACCTGTAAGGAAGCAGAGCTCGAGCTTGGACTAAAATTCAAAACTTTTAAAAAAAACCCTTGAACATCTAAACTCTGTATTTTGCCTGTGTTTACGCTAGTAAGTCTCCGCTTTGCTTTCTGTACCCAAACTCCTGGCGGCTCACGCCGAAGCACTGGGAATTTTTTCCAGTTCTCATCGCTCTGGGCTGATGGAGTCCATGTCGCGTCAGGAGCTCTGAAGACACAGCAGCACGTGCAGAATGGCACCACTTCCCTGCCGGACTGCGGACAGCCATTTCTCCCACATTCTTTTTAACGGATCTCCTTACAGAAGTGTTTCTTTGAAAAAGGAAGGTGTGCGCAGGCGCTCACTTAAGGAATTTAAGGTGTTACGGAAGCACAGTTCAAGGCGCTGCAGTTGTAACGCGCTAATCCTTCGTGTTTCAGAAAGGAAACGTGATTAACTGAATTTCCTTTCTTTAAGTAGGTAGTGACTCAGCCTTCCAAAAGTAAAAAGTAAAAAAAAAAAAAAAAAAAA